AATACTACACGAGGTCTGATATATAGAGAATACTACACGAGGTCTGATATATAGAGAATACTACACGAGGTCTTATATATAGAGAATACTACACGAGGTCTGATATAGAGAATACTACACGAGGTCTGATATATAGAGAATACTACACGAGGTCTGATATATAGAGAATACTACACGAGGTCTGATATATAGAGAATACTACACGAGGTCTGATATATAGAGAATACTACACGAGGTCTGATATAGAGAATACTACACGAGGTCTGATATAGAGAATACTACACGAGGTCTGATATAGAGAATACTACATGAGGTCTGATATATAGAATACTACACGAGGTCTTATATATAGAGAATACTACACGAGGTCTGATATATGGAGAATACTACACGAGGTCTGATATAGAGAATACTACACGAGGTCTGATATAGAGAATACTACACGAGGTCTGATATAGAGAATACTACACGAGGTCTGATATAGAGAATACTACACGAGGTCTGATATATAGAGAATACTACACGAGGTCTGATATATAGAGAATACTACACGAGGTCTGATATATAGAGAATACTACACGAGGTCTGATATAGAGAATACTACACGAGGTCTGATATATAGAGAATACTACACGAGGTCTGATATAGAGAATACTACACGAGGTCTGATATATAGAGAATACTACACGAGGTCTGATATATAGAAATACTACATGAGTCTGATATATAGAGAATACTACACGAGGTCTGATATATAGAGAATACTACACGAGGTCTGATATATAGAGAATACTACACGAGGTCTGATATATAGAGAATACTACACGAGGTCTGATATATAGAGAATACTACACGAGGTCTGATATATAGAGAATACTACACGAGGTCTGATATATAGAGAATACTACACGAGGTCTTATATATAGAGAATACTACACGAGGTCTGATATATAGAGAATACTACACGAGGTCTGATATAGAGAATACTACACGAGGTCTTATATATAGAGAATACTACACAGGTCTTATATATAGAGAATACTACACGAGGTCTGATATATAGAGAATACTACACGAGGTCTGATATAGAGAATACTACACGAGGTCTGATATATAGAGAATACTACACGAGGTCTGATATATAGAGAATACTACACGAGGTCTGATATATAGAATACTACACGAGGTCTGATATATGGAGAATACTACACGAGGTCTGATATATAGAGAATACTACACGAGGTCTGATATATAGAGAATACTACACGAGGTCTGATATATAGAGAATACTACACGAGGTCTGATATATAGAAATACTACACGAGGTCTGATATAGAGAATACTACACGAGGTCTGATATATAGAGAATACTACACGAGGTCTGATATATAGAGAATACTACACGAGGTCTGATATATAGAGAATACTACACGAGGTCTGATATATAGAGAATACTACACGAGGTCTGATATATAGAGAATACTACACGAGGTCTGATATATAGAGAATACTACACGAGGTCTGATATAGAGAATACTACACGAGGTCTGATATATAGAGAATACTACACGAGGTCTGATATAGAGAATACTACACGAGGTCTGATATATAGAGAATACTACACGAGGTCTGATATATAGAGAATACTACACGAGGTCTGATATAGAGAATACTACACGAGGTCTGATATATAGAGAATACTACACGAGGTATGATATAGAGAATACTACACGAGGTCTGATATATAGAGAATACTACACGAGGTCTGATATATAGAGAATACTACATGAGGTCTGATATATAGAGAATACTACACGAGGTCTGATATAGAGAATACTACACGAGGTCTGATATAGAGAATACTACACGAGGTCTGATATATAGAGAATACTACACGAGGTCTGATATATAGAGAATACTACACGAGGTCTTATATATAGAGAATACTACACGAGGTCTGATATAGAGAATACTACACGAGGTCTGATATATGAGAATACTACACGAGGTCTGATATATAGAGAATACTACACGAGGTCTGATATATAGAGAATACTACACGAGGTCTGATATAGAGAATACTACACGAGGTCTGATATATAGAGAATACTACACGAGGTCTGATATATAGAGAATACTACACGAGGTCTGATATATAGAGAATACTACACGAGGTCTGATATAGAGAATACTACACGAGGTCTGATATATAGAGAATACTACACGAGGTCTGATATAGATAATACTACACGAGGTCTGATATATAGAGAATACTACACGAGGTCTGATATATAGAGAATACTACACGAGGTCTGATATATAGTGTTTTCCCACAGGATCCAAAAAGTGGATGGCGACAGACATCCAAAAGATGCGATGCAATGACAGATTCCAAGTATTATGTTATTCATACAAGTGTATATGATTCTTAAAGGTTCAAAGAGCACAGTTATTTCAGTTAACTTCAACATGAAATAAAAACGAAGAACAACCAAGTGTTGATATCCATTATTGTTTTCTTTGTACAGAAATCTTTTGAAAGCATTCACTCTCATATTCTTCTGTTCTTCCTGGACAGGAATTTTGCAACAATTTTGTCCATATCAATGTCAGTTGTGGATTGTGATCATGCTGAGCTTGCTGCAGTTCTTCACACACATGTTTCTGTGGAAACTCTTTCCACGATGTAGACAGTGAGTGGGTGAGTGAGTTTAGTTTTACGCCGCACTCAGCAATATTCCAGCTATATGGCGGCGGTCTGTAAATAATCGAATCTGGACCAGACAATCCAGTGATCAACAGCATGAGCATCGTACTGCGCAATTGGGAACCGATGATATGTGTCAACCAAGCCAGCGAGCCTGACCACCCGATCCCGTTAGTCGTCTCTTACGACAAGCATGGGTTACTGAAGGTTCATTCTAACACGGACCTTCACGGGTTCTGATATAGACAGGATGACTGTAGCACATAAACTCAGAGGCCAGACTATGGATGGACACAGGTTGTCCATGAGTGGCTTGAGGCTTGTTACCCGTGAAGATCCGGGTTAGAATTGATCTTCAGCAACCCATGCTTGTCGTAAGAGACGAATAACGGGATCAGGTGGTCAGGCTCGCAGACGTGGTTGACAGGTCATCGTATCCCATGCTGTTGATCACTGGATTGTCTGATCCAGCCTCGATTATTTACAGACCGCTGCCACATACAAAATGTAGCTGGAATATTGTTGAGTGCTGTGTAAAACTAAACTCAATCACTCACACTTGAGGCTTGTCAGTGTTTTGAGCATGGCTGCAGGCGAGTTATTGTCAACATCATCACAGAAACGTTCCTTTGCTTGACTCCACTCAAGAAGAGTTCGGTCTGTATCCAGCTGCAAGTTCTGGCACCTGTAAGAGACATGAAGTACAGATACGTGTAGCTACTTGTAGGGCTGCGCAATATAACCGGTTTACCGGTATTTACCGGTTCAGACATGAAAACGATACGTATTGCGATACGCTGATCGAAAACCGGTATTTTGACTTGCATTCGGAAAACTTCGTAACACTCGGAAATCTTCGGATATTTCCTTGTTTCATTTGTGCCAAATATTATTCACATTTCTATTTTATCATGATGAAAAGTTGTTATTAAAGCTTAATCAAGCATAGTGATTTTGCTGTGTTTTTGCTCTATGAATCAAGCAATAACTCGATTATAAGTAGTTTTTTTGTTTAAAAATACTTCATGCAATATATCGCAATATGAAAATTCTCTGCAATACCCACCCCTAGCTACTTGGAATATTGACAACAATGAAGTCATAATTATCATATATATAATTTTATGTTACGACGCTTAGTGAGTGTTGTTGTCACGTGGTTATATGTCCTGTAGACATGAGGTGGAATTACATCATGATCTGCCGAGACCACGTTCTGCAAAACGTTCCTGTAAGCGAACAACCTGGATGAAATTGTATTCCCATGGGATAAGGATATTGTGGGTATTTCCTAAATTCTGAAATATTTGGCACATTTTGAGAAATTGATTTTGTCTCAGAATATTACTTAATTTTACGGCATCAGTTCCCTTGTTTGCAACTTTCAGCTTCAGGAACATGCGGCCTCTGTCTGATTTAGCAAGTGAGAAGTTGTCATCCATAAATTATATTATATCTTATGCTTTCATAAACGATGACGAATTTGTCCAACGCGTGCAGAATGCAGACATACATGTAGGCCACTGAACATGAAGAGAATACGGGCCTATCCGCAGCGTTCCAACCTGGACCAGTCAAACCCGTGACTGACTGCATGTGAATTGACCAGCCGATCATCTTTTTGTCGACTCTGACGTCACGCCTAGGGAACCAGTCTGGCACGAGGACCCACGTGGTTCCAATCTAATAATTGCAACAAAACCAAATTTTGTACAGTCACATGAAATCGACAGACCAACTGTGATAATTTGTATCATAATTTTGGACACCCGATTAAAAAAGTCGCACACCTGGCTGTTCTACCAGCAGGTAGTCACGCTCTAACCAATACGGGGGGCGGTGGGGTAGCCTAATGGTTAAAGCGTTGGCTCGTCACGCCGAAGACCCGGGTTCGAATCCCCACATGGGTACAATGTGTGAAGCCCATTTCTGGTGTCCCCCGCCGTGATGTTGCTGGATTGCTGGAATATTGCTAAAAGCGGCGTAAAACCAAACTCAGTCAGTCAGTCTAACCAATACGCCACCTAGGAGGCGGTTAACGAAAGAGGGATGGGGCAACCGCAGATGAAATACGCTAAGAGATGAAATACGCTGTTATAAATGACACATTTACAAGGAATTCTACAGGGAGCAAATATGTAGCTATGAAAAGTAAACCAAATATATATAGGTATGTAATTATCGCACTTTGACATATATAACAAGCAGCAACTTGTTATGGAGTTTCGAACTCATATCTTCAGGGCTGCTACATTCCCACCCACCACAACAGGAAGTGCGAAATAGAGTTACCTCCCCCAAGAAGAGAAGCGTGTGTATTCTCTGGAAGAAATTATCTACCGGTTTGTTTGTGGTATATGCGATATCCCTGCATATAAAGTACTTACGTAGGTATTGCGGTTGGTATTCTTTAACATTAAGGTATATTCATCATGTTTCAACGAAAGATCTACGGTGCTAGGCAATGAAGGATTTGTTATTTGCAGTAATGACCCGGAAGCTGCCCTCAATGGCGTTCTGTGTACATGAGAAACACTTTCTACTAGTGTTTCATCAAATACTCTTTGTTATAGTGCATTGGGTAACTGTAGAAAGTGCCGTGCGTGTTTTAAGAATACTTGGTGTTGATTTGAAGCGTCTTAATTTCACTTTCAGTTTAGAAATCCTGAGCATGCTGGGTTAGTCATTGTTTGCAACATGGAGGTTTCGTTGTTTATTCGTGATATTTCGATTCATTTCGAACTTAAACTGACTATGTTCCATCCTACACGACAAATTTGTATATTTATCCATGTAATGCATCTTTGTTGAAAGTGATAACCTTTTTCTGGGAACCCAAACTGATCAATTTGTAGTGTAACAATCTATCATTGTATCATCATGCAATATGTAAATACATCAATTATCCAGGAATATATCCTTGCTACTGTACATTTCACTTGCTTCATACTACTGTTGGCATCTACACCAAAGAATTGTAATAAAGAAGTTGCAAAGACATAGAATTATCTCCCTTGGTAATCTGAACAGCAATGAAAGTATTTTTACCTGATAAATATTTAAATATAGCTTGAAATATCTGATTATATCTATCCACTGCAACTAATGTATTTCAGCTATTTTCAAGATTTTGAGTGGGAATACTGCTTTGTTTACAAGCAGAAACATCCATGTAATTGTACTCTGTACAATTCTTCCTCATATAAAAGTGCTTTATGGCAGACATCTTCTTTATGAAATTATGAGGTGCTTTTGTTTAGATCCTAAAACCTGTCAAGCAAGAGTGAGAGTGATAAAACAAAGAATCTGTCATCCATACCTAATCTTGTTAACTTTTTATCCATCCTAACCTTTTATTTGTTTTTGTTTTATTATTGTTGATTTCTAAAATACCAATCAAGCACATCATAATTTTTATTATCCAAAAATAAGTATCCCCTGTGTGTATGTGACCTGCAGCCCAAGTGAAGCCCATGTTAGGTGATATTTGCGACAATGGGCAGAGGTACAGAGTCTAATGCGTACAAATACCCTTGAATATTTGTAAATATTCAATAAATTTAATTTTGCATGCGTACACACAAAAGTGTCAAATCTTAGTGGATACATAAAATACCTGAGGTATATTGAGAGGCTCTATTTCAGCACATGCACTTGGCAACTTGCAGTCTTTCTTATCGTTTCTCATATTACAGATCAAATATAAATAAGAAACATGTGAACCAACGTTTAAATTTTATTATATTTTTACAATTAATGGAAAATGGCAAAATACCCAATTGAGTTTGAGTGAGGTGGGTACAATTTATTTGTTTACTCAGAGGAACATTAGGATACCTAATCATGCTAATTGAGATGACTACAAGCGAGTACATAACTCAGTGACCCAAAAGGTTATCTGTAGCTCTGGTAGGGTGGACTAAAGTACTGTCGGAAATAGAAAAAAACTGTATTTTCTCATTCATCACTACAATTTATGTAGTTGATATGTGAAAGTGTGAAATATCTGTTAAACTAAGTTCGGCCTAACTACAGTCTCAGTGGTAGAGAGATAGGAAACGGAGAAAAAGGACTTTACTGAGGGGAAATTAGTGCAAAAATGAGCAATGCAGGGTTTTTTAAGTCCAAAAAGACTTATTTGGAACAGACCATGGCTTCATGCAAATTAGTGTGCGACGATATTGTATTACAAAGGACACTTTTAAATGCCCAATATGAAATTAGACGTAGATTCATTATAAACGATAGCTGGCATAAAAAACAATAACTTTTATGCCGAAACTATTCAGGATGTAGCTACCATGCAGTCACACTGTCACTATGAAAAGAAACAGATAGGAGGGGTCGCCTCAAAAGCAAAACCTGGGGTCGGGCTTAGGGATAGAGATATCAGCTAAGATAATCCTTTAGGGCAATTATACTGGGGAGGTACACGGCACGTCATAACAATTTACAAATAATATCCAGTCCTGTCGATCTTCGGGTGGTCATGCCACCTATATACTACGATGCGTTTCTATGGTTTTCGGGTATCATACTCTCTTACATATCTCAACATAAACTTTATGAAAGAAAGACACGTAAAATGTTAATCAGTAGATGAGACATAGTCAACACACATGATAAAGCACAAAATATCTTTGAGATGACCCCTTGTGCCTGTAGGCAGCACATGCATTTCATGCCAGGTGAGTCGACGGTCTGTCGTCATACCTGGCTGAGCGACCTAATTGCCATCTATAGTCTGATCTATTGTTTTGAGCAGTTATTCGTATTTTTTCTAAGTTTTGCCCGATTTTACGAGTAAACATGCTTTTCTGGATATCGAATTACGCATCCCACTGAACGCCCAGTTAGGCTGAAGTGGGTTATTTCGACATATGATATTTGCAATTGTGTCCATTTTAGGGATACAGAGTAACAGCCTAAAAACAGTTTTTGTCTATTTCCAACAGTACTATAGTATGTAAGGTCCATGTACCTGTGAAGATGCCGGGGTAGAATAGGTCGCCAGCAGCCCCTGTGCTTGCCATAAAAGGCGACTATGCTTGTCGTAAGAGGCGACTAACGGGATCAGGTGGTCAGGCTTGCTGACTTGGTTGACACATGTAATCGGTTCCCAATTGCGCAGATCTATGCTCATGCTGTTGATCACTGGATTGTCTGGTCCAGACTCGATTATTTACAGACCGCCGCCATATAGCTGGAATATTGCCGAGTGCGGGCGTAAAACTAAACTCACTCACTCACTGTAAGGTCCATGTTTGAGGTCTAAGTTGGGTGTTGCAGAAAATATTCTGTGAGGTGGCTGGAATATTGCAAAAGTGGCATAAAACCTACAAACTCACTCACTCACTCCAGATCACTTCCAAATATGCTATGACCAAATAGTCAATGGTTGTCCTGTTTTCCTCTTTGCAGAATAATGTCATTTAACCGGTCAAATGACGGTTGGGGTGACCCTTCACGGTCAAAGAAGAGGAGGTTTGACCGGAACCGTGGACGGGGCTACCATGGCGGCAGGAGGAATGATTACTATTCTCAGAATGGTAGGTAGTCTCAATATTCAAATACAGTCAAATCCCGATGAGTCGAATGCCAGTGTCTCGAATATTATGCATAACTCGAAGTACCTGTCGGTCCCGACCATTCCCTGTTATAGTTGTCATCATTTGATTTCCGGTTACACGAATTCGTCTCATAAATACACACGATGACTCCAGAAGGAAATTTGGTCCCATGAGATTCAAACAACAGCAATCTTGTATACATAAGCCGAAGTCAGCCAATGAGAAGTTGATTGGTGTAGCAAACTGATCCAATTAACAAACCAGGGCGGCTCACACCTTTCCGCCATTGACGGGTGAGTTCAAAAGGCAGATTAGTGATTTTACGGAAATCACTCTCTGTGCTAATCAGACTGGAACTGATAAGGTGCCCCTATTAGTGATAGGGAAATCATGAGGTAAACATATGCTTAGGTGGAGGAATTAGGACCGGATCATCTTTTTTCTACCCTCATAGACATACCTATGTCTCGAATACATCGATAAGTCGAATTTATTACTTGGCCCACAGCGATTCGACTCATCAGGATTTGACTGTACTTGCTAGTGCGACTGCAACAAATTCACCAACAGTCGAATATGATTCATATCACAAATATTGGATAAAATAATACGAAACATTACCCGATTTGCCAGTGATTTAAAGTGACCATTAAAATGAAGCTTGTGGCTGACGGACGAACCGTCATGTATCATGATAGAATTGAAATTATTCTAAAGTACTGTACCCGTTCAAATTGGTCTGCAGTAACCTGTGCTTGTTGTAAGAGGCGCCTAACAGGATGGCGTGGTCAGACTCGCTGACTTGGTTGACCTGTCATTGTTTACCAGTTGTGTAGATCGATGTCTGGTCAAATGTTAATTTTTTAAATAAACAATATAATTAATGATGGAAAGTCAACTGGAACTACAGTTGCTTGCCCAACAGAAAAAAGCACTGGACTCGGACATCGGGCAATGGGTTATTTCCACCCCTGCCATGGATTGTCAGGTCCAGACCTGATATTTTATTATTTAGAGATAGCACTGACTTCCATATTCATAGTGGGTACATTGTGTGAAGCCCATTTCTGGTGTCCTCCCCCTCATCTATTGAACCTACCACATTCTATAGCTCTGACTTCATAGCACTGGCAAGATTGTGATTGAAAATTAATAAAAGCACTTTGTAGTCACTTATTCATTATAATGCATTACTTTTGCCCTGGGAGGATCACATTCTTTCGTGGTTGAACAGTTACACTTGACCATGAAGTCATTGGAATGATTGATCAGCAGTTTGTTCTGTATGTCATGATTCTGTATGAATCGGGCGTCGCTGGAAGAGTAGTAGTACTGACAGTGTTTTCGATAAATTTCAGCTAATTTTTTTGTCTTTCTGTCAGCTAAACAGTGATGTTTTTTCTTTCAAAGACCAGTTGACGGAGCAAGTGCAGGGCTGGATGCAGTGGGTGGGGTCAGCAGGTGGCCCCCCGGGGTACATGTCCGACCCCAGTGGTGGGTGGGGGCAGCAGGGGTACCAGCAGGACGGTGGGTACTGGAGCCACCCAGGCAGCTCGCAGCCGTACTATCCCTCATACAATGAAGAATCTGAGCCTGCTATTTTAACAGTGGCTGAAAGACTGGAGAGGTTAGGTGAATATCTCCGAAGGTATCACAGCAATAATGATGTTCAGGTGATTGAGAAGGGAGTCACTGCCAGCCGTTCAGGCCTCCGAGCTGATTACAGCCACGAAGTGGTTCACAAGGTCGGCAAGAAGTACATATTCACCGGATGTCTCAAACTCAATAAAGTGTTCATAGCCCGAAGTGTTGGTGGAGACAAGCAAAGAACGAAACAGTCGACCTACAGAAAGGCGATCAACATCATCCGAAACAAATCCATCCGACACATACTGGGGCTGAGGGATGTCGGCATACAGATTCTGAAAATTGATGCCAAATCCTTCTTTAAAAAAGATGAAGAGTACGATGACCCTGGTGCTATTGCACTGAAGAGGTTCATTTCAATCGAGAAAGGAGAGATGCAGGTTGACATCCCAGAAGGAACATCCATAGACCAAGTACTGAAGGTGGAGCTGACAGATGACGAGGTGAAAGAGAAGCTGGCGGCTGTTGTTTCCTATTGCCTAGAGACGACGCGACATCCTAATGCCTCACTGATGCACTTGTTGGATCGGAATGTGTTCCGGATGGGGTTGGAGCCCAAGTGTATCGTTAAGTTCCTTGAACCGGATGAAAACCGACCAGCCGAGGAGAATGTTATTTGTGAGTACTACTTGCAGAAGGTTCTGATCGGAACAGGGAAGGGGGAGACTCGGGCAAACGCACATGCTGCAGCCTACGAAAACGCCTACCATAAACTCACCACCATGACAGGCGAGGAGGTTTTTGATGCAGGCAAGCCGACACCAGAGGAGGAAGAGCTAAAAGTGGCCAAAACTGAAGTGTGGGCAAAGTCAAGAACGGAGGGTGTAGAGTCAAACATTGGTCGCTTAAAACTCCTTAGACGAGATCCCATACAGAGAAACAAAGAATGGAACGAGATGGTTATTGTGGAGACACATGATTGGTCATTCAATCGAAGAAAAAATGCATACAGCATCTTGATGATGAGCGCGATGTGGAACGGGATGCTTCTGGAGTGGAGGATTGAACCAGACGAAAAGGGATACAGGTAAATACTGAGGATACAGTGTGTGTGGGGGGGTGGTGGTGTTTACAGGTAAATACTGAGGATACAGTGGGGGGGGATACAGGTAAATACTGAGGATACAGTGGGTGGGGGTATACAGGTAAATACTGAGGATACATTGTGTGGGGTTATACAGGTAAATACTGAGGATACAGTGGGGGTATACAGGTAAATACTGAGGATACAGTGGGGGATACAGGTAAATACTGAGGATACATTGTGGGGGGTATACAGGTAAATACTGAGGATACAGTGGGGTATACAGGTAAATACTGAGGATACATTGTGTTGGGGGATACAGGTAAATACTGAGGATACAGTGTGGGGGATACAGGTAAATACTGAGGATACATTGTGTGGGGGGGATACAGGTAAATACTGAGGATACAGTGGGGGGATACAGGTAAATACTGAGGATACATTGTGTGGGGATACAGGTAAATACTGAGGATACAGTGGGGGGACACAGGTAAATACTGAGGATACAGTGTGGGGGATACAGGTAAATACTGAGGATACATTGTGTGGGGGATACAGGTAAATACTGAGGATACATTGTGTGGGGGGTACAGGTAAATACTGAGGATACAGTGGGGGGATACAGGTAAATACTGAGGATACATTGTGTGGGGGGGATACAGGTAAATACTGAGGATACAGTGTGGGGGGATACAGGTAAATACTGAGGATACAGTGTGGGGATACAGGTAAATACTGAGGATACATTGTGTGGGGGATACAGGTAAATACTGAGGATACATTGTGTGGGGATACAGGTAAATACTGAGGATACAGTGTGTGGGGATACAGGTAAATACTGAGGATACAGTGTGGGGGATACAGGTAAATACTGAGGATACAGTGGGGTATACAGGTAAATACTGAGGATACATTGTGTGGGGGTATACAGGTAAATACTGAGGATACAGGGGGTTATACAGGTAAATATACTGAGGATACAGTGGGGGATACAGGTAAATACTGAGGATACAGTGGGGGGTATACAGGTAAATACTGAGGATACAGTGGGGGGTATACAGGTAAATACTGAGGATACATTGTGTGGGGGATACAGGTAAAATACTGAGGATACATTGTGTGGGGATACAGGTAAATACTGAGGATACAGTATGTGTCACACACTCTACATCCCATGCTACATCACACACACTCTACATAATCGCTTGTCATAACTAACGTATCACACACACTCTACATCCTCGATTGTCGTTACAGGTCATTGGCTCCCTCCCTCTGCAAGCCTTCTGCGTTCTGCTGTTTATATTGTTGACAGTTACATAGACAGATTCTTTAATACAAATGCATAGAATCGGTGATTTACAATGTGATTAGGTTGTCTGACAAAACATCCACTTGCACAGTTTGAGATTGATTGGGTCATTGGATGAAGAGATATTTACAAAAAACCGGGTCCACATGCATTTCATGCCAAACTATACATCCTAGCTTGTCGTAACTAACATATAACTGATGTAGAGTGTGTGTGTGTTACGTTAGTTCACATAATGCGATTTACACAAGGAGGATGTAGAGTGTGTGTGATAATGTTACGTTATTCACTGACAAGGGAGGATGTAGTAGTGTGTGTGTGATACGTTAGTTACCACAAGCAATGATGTAGAGTGTGTGTGATATCGTTAGTTACGACAAGCGATGATGTAGGATGTAGTGTGTGTGATAATGTTAGTTACGTTTATGAGCCGATGATGTAGAGTGTGTGTAGTGTGTGATGTCGTTAGTTTTGACAAGCAATGATGTAGAGTGTGTGTGTGATACGTTAGTTACGACAAGCAATGATGTAGAGTGTGTGTGTGATACGTTAGTTACAAGAAGTGATGGTGAAGAGAGGCTGTGATACTGTATTAACCAGTATTCTACCTACTTTATCTAGATATGCCCAGAGATTGTCTGCAAGAAATGTTGTTTCATGTTTTGAAATTGCAAGTAGAATTTTCATGTTTTTAATGGAATAACTGATGTCATAGCTTTGCTGGCGTTTCAGTGATCACCAAACCAATTATTATGGATAGGTTGTATGTCTAAGGTTAACAGCTAATTATTGTCACAGAATTAAACAAGTTTTAATGCAATGAAGGCTTTTGGAATCAACATTCAAACCCTGAAAATGTATTTGACAGTATAATGGCAGTCCTCAAAAGTTTGATTCTAGATATATTCCTGAAAATATGAAGCATTCTGCTAATGTTCTGTGAAGGTGCCACACCTCAGCATTAATCTACCAGGGTAATGGTAGTTTGTGGGTTATGCAACAATGTTTAATGTCAACAAGCAAGCTCATCTCTTGTTCTGCTGTTGAATTTCTCCTAAAGTACTTTGCTAGAAAATGCACTGCAGTTACTTAATAACAAATATCACTTCAAAAACATCTACCTAATGTGTTTTTGAGACATGCTCTAAAATGTGTTTTTACTGATGAAAATACCCAAAATTTAGAAAAATAAGGTGTAGTGGGACGTTATTTGCTACAAACATTAACTGCTTGTATTACGTCATCAGCATCCACGGTATCGACAGGTGAAATTGACACCTGAGCACACGCTCGGGCGAGGGGTCATCTCAACAGATGTTTTCTACAAAATGTTGAATATGTGTACATATAGTATACAAATCGGTTATGTAAGGGATCATTTGTGTATGTGTGTTTGTTTTGAAATAAACATACGAGTTACTGTACATTGGAAAGAATCCTATCACTTGTGTTATCTTATCGATTGATTGTAGAAATGTGCAACGTTTTAATCAATGTTTTGCATGTGAACAGTATATTTCATTGAAAATATATGGATGTAATTCAGTCAGTTTAATCTAGTTGTGAACATTGGCCAAAGATTTAACGACGTCACTGGTGTAGCTTCTTTAGAATATATATTTTTCTTCTCATAAAGTTTGTAGACCGCCCGTCTAAGCACTCCCTTGTCAAAGTTGTCAAGGCTGGTTTTACGTCCCGGTTTTGCATTTGAGACGGTCCCTGTCTTGTCTGATTTGTTTACAATATTGTAAACTTGTTGGTAAGACATACCAACAGCTCTACAAGTTCTGTATTAAACCATTTCTAAACTAATGAAAGGTTTTCCTGTCTTTTTTAAGCAGAAGAAAACTATAAACCTTTGCAACAATCGACTGCAAATCGTTATTTAAAACTTATTTATCAAGACTTAACATTTACATTAATATTTCTTCAATAAAGAAACGATAATTAATTGGTTAGGGTTAGGGTGGCTCTTGAACGTGCCTGAGAGGGATACTGTTATGTTATGCTTGCATGATGAGGTGTGTGTTGGTGTGTTGAGGTGTGTGTTGTTGTGTTGAGGTGTGTGTTGGTGTGTTGAGGTGTGTGTTGGTGTGTTGAGGTGTGTGTTGTGTGTGTGTGTTGGTGTGTTGAGGTGTTTGTTGGTGTGTTTGTTGGTGTGTTGAGGTGTTGGTGGTGTGTGTGTTGAGGTGTGTGTTGGTGTGTTGAGGTGTGTGTTGTTTAGGTGTGTGTGTTGAGGTGTGTGTGTGAGGTGTTTGTTGGTGTGTTGTTGAGGTGTGTGTTGGTGTGTTGTGTGTGTGTGGTGTTTGTTGGTGTGTTGAGGTGTGTGTTGGTGTGTTGGTGTGTGTTGAGGTGTGTGTTGGTGTGTTTATGTACTGTATGTGTTCCAGATGTCAGATGATCCTGCAGCAGACGACGGTTGGAGAGAGGCAGTTGCAGGGGACCAGCACAGCAGTCCGGTAACTCTATCAGCTTGCGGATGCTCTCTTCAAAGTTCTCTGAGACTCAGACTGTGCTCAAAGTTCTTCTACTCATTGCTCTGATTTGTTATTATGTCATCAGCAGCGAGTGGTAAATTATCAGTTTGTTCAAGTTCTACGAAAGTCAGATAGTGCTCAAAGTTCGTCTACTCATTGCTGTGATTTGAAATGAATGAGTGATCTGCAGTTTGTAATGGCATATATCAAAGGCTCTATTTGACGGAAGAAAACATGCAGCTCTAAATGGAAATATCAAAATTTTCAATAATTTCCTAGAATTTGAGCAGTTCTAAATCGGAAAGGTTTGGTTAACAGATTCATGATGTAATCAGAACAACATTCAGATTCAAACCATTAATGTAGCATAAAAACAACTATTGTCCGTAAATGGAAAATGAAATGTATTTTCTTCTTTTTCAGGTGCTCTCGACAAAGGAGTGCAATGACATTGTGGTGACAGCAGAAGAGATTACGCAAAAGGGTGAGGAACTGAAGGCCGAGAGTGGAGATACTGGAACAGATGACTTCATCATCGTCACCCGGAAGAGGTACTTTCGGGATGACCCTGATGACGATGATGACGACGAGGAAGACATCCCTGCACCACCACTTAAAACTGCGAGGAAGGCTTCGCCAAATGTGGTTAAGGAAGAAGCTGAGGTCAAGTCATCAACTTCAGGAGATCCTTCTGGAGATCCTTCTGGGGCCCCTTCAGGAGATCCTTCTGGAGATCCTTCTGGGGCCCCTTCTGGAGATCCTTCTGGAGATCCTTCTGGAGATCCTTCGGTGTCAGGAGCTGCTGAAGGTGCAGTTACTTCAGATGTTGTTGAAGGCGCTGAAGCAAATAAAGAAAGTAATGGTGATGGAAGCAAGGCTGAGGATGGCGATAAGGATGGCGATGACAATAAGGGTGAGGAAGGGGGCAAGGATGAAGAATGCGATGCTGAGGGGAATGAGCTTCCTAACAGATGCCGCATCAACAAGTGGCATAGGGATGCTATTGAGAAAGTCATGCTGGACTACAAGCAGATGGACACCCTTCGGGATTTGCGCTTTGTGTATGGGTTCGAGCAGGGCGACTGGGATCAGATTAAATACCTGGCCAAGAAAACAAGCTTGAAAATTATGCAGAAGAAGATCAAGGATCGTTTCCTGAAGCTGTACCGCAAGAACACCCCAGATCAGATGGTGGAGATTCTTGTCAAGCTTGGCGAACCCAGTGGCAGATATGAACTTGTTCCCAGGGAAGGGCTGCCATGTCATGCCGACATAGAGGATGTGCTGGATGTAGGAAAGGCTTAAAGGCCATCATTGAGACTCAACAATCATCTCTCATTGGTTTTCATACTGGCTTGTTTGTACCCAACTGCACAGATAGTGTTGCAGTTTGAATGAAACATTGATCTTTATGTGACAACAGGAAATCAACCTCATTTGAAAAATTTGAAATGACTTTATATATTTCCAGACATTCATCTGTTGATTCAGTTCCCGAAGACCACCATACATCATGGCTGACTAGTTCATGCTAAACTGTTTCAGTGGGAAATTGTCTTGTAACATCAGACTCTCCAAAACGCATCTGATAGAAATAGCCTTTGGACATATGACTGAGAATAGACCGTTCCTTTCAACGTCCTGCACAACTATAACACCTTTGGCAGCTTTGTTACATCGTTTGCTGAAGAAACCCCACCATGAGAGAATGTGTTCTTTTTTTATAACGGTGTTCAACGTGAAGTTTGAACATCAAAGGGTACGTGTTGTAACCCCAGTGCTGAAGGCTAAAGTATTGGGTGACCCAATATTCAAATATAACCCCTCAACCTCCTTCATTATGATTGTTTTCAATACATGTTGAGTGTTCCCTATAGCTGAATGACCTCTGATTTCAGATAAAGGCAGTTCCAATTTAATGGTTGGTACTTTCTGCTCCTAAGTCTAAATTCTACTGTATATTCAAGGCCAACACAATTTCCTTTGTTAACCACATAATGATATATTCAGGAAAGTTATGTCTTATGTTTGAATTTATCCCTGCTACAGATTGAGGTTTTATGAAAGACCAAGAAGGAATAACATCTGGCCTTAGTTGCCTTAGGTAATTCAGTCACAGTGATTCCTAACCTTTGAATATTGGGCCAACATGGTTGCCACATGGTTACCACATGGTTACCACATGATTGCCACATGGTTGCCACACGGTTACCACACGGTTGCCACATGGTTGGGTATACAATGTCTGTATGAGAGGTCCAGATTGTAACCATGTTCTGTGTTTGGGTTGTGTTGTGTTATGTTGTGCTTGATGGCAATGGTGAGGATTTTACAGTTCGATTCTCTTTTCTTGGTTACCATGGTTACTGATTATCGTGAAATGAATGAGTGTGTGCCAGGATCTGGTTGAAAAAGCAATAATAATGGGCTTTGAAACACTAACTTGTCTGTCTGCCAACCAGGACTTTCTTTGGTAAAACTTTCATTTTTTAAATGCGTTACTTGCCATGGTGACCTGAATTATGGACAATATAGTTTGAGTATTATTGATATTTACAAACAATTTGTTGCATTATTTTTTTCTTTGCATACTTCTTATCCCGAAGTTAAGTTGTCATGGAAACCTTTTCAATTAAACCAATTCAATATTGGATCATGACGTCATAGCATTGACGTTTTATATTGAGTGACATTATGTCTGTCTCACAGTGCTGATGACAATTTCTGATATTAGTATGGCTAAATATTTTTATTCAGATTTCCTTCATGTGTTTATGGGGGCGGCGGGGTAGCCTAGTAGTTAAAGTGTTCGCTTGTCACGCCGAAGAACCGGGTTTGATTCCTCACATGGGTACAGAGTGTGAAGCCAATTTCTTATATCCCCCTGTTGTGATATTGCTAGAGTATTGCTAATAGAGCCTTAAAACCAAACTAACTCACGTGTATGTGGTTTTCAAAATTGGTATATTTAAAACCTCTAGATCAGATCCATTCCAAAATGAATTGTTTAGTCATCGGCAACAACTACAGATAATGGAGATGAAAGAATGTACAGAGATATTTAACATTTGAAACCTCCATTGGGCCTGCTAATACAATTGGGTATTACAAAACGTGTCAGCTTGTCATTGCTTCTCTCCATTATGCAATTTTAAAATGAGAGTTGGTTCTCTGTACTAGAGTTCTTCATTCCTGTTGTAAGACCTTGCAAGCTGTGCACACATGGATGGGTGACACAGCACCCCCACGTCTGTGGATGGGTGACACAGCACCCCCACGTCTGTGGATGGGTGACACAGCAACCCCACGTCTGTGACTGCCATGCTGTTATTGCTAGGGCAGTCTATCGATATAGATCATACAGATCAGTAATATAGATCGATTATAAAAAAATTATTGGAGACGTAACTTTGAGCAAAAATGCTGAAAGAAATGAATATCTATCCCATGACTTGTGAGTGGTCACTACTAACAATACAGCTTATTGAACATAATGTAGAAACACACCAGGAGTCCTAAATGTGTACATTATTGTACATTATTATCAATAACATATTATGATATTGATAATCATTAATAATTTTAGCCAACCCTAGTTGTTGAGTCACCATCATCAACTACTAGCATCTTCTGTTCCTCGTCCACATGGTTCAGGCTTCTCGGCTTACATCAACCATTCTCCCCAATAAGGAGAATTTAGTCTCCATGATTAGGCCTGTTACTTGGTCCTGTTCCGCAAAGCCATATTAGCGTTAAGGTGATTGTAACTCCCATACTTACAACATCACATCGCTATGCTCCCTTTGTGGTCCAACACCACACCACCTACCATCAGTTCCAGTGTAACCTTCAGGTGGGTGTTGGGAGCAGGACTTACTTCTGCCTCGATTAGTTACTTGTTTTACAAATTTGACAACCTGATATTAGGAAAAAAATATTTTTTGTTGATGAACATATTTTTAATGCTTAACTGGATGTTATTTCAATAATGAAAAAAATTAAGTATATAGTTGAAGAGAGGAATTAAACAGTTAATGGTGCTTTTGAAATTTCTTTGTTCCAACCAACTGACCACTGCACTTGGAACAAATGTACTTCTTGCATGACAGAACTTATGGAGTAAAATCTGAAAACAAGATGGCTGATCCGGACTGGAGAGCAACAGGTGTTTCAATCTTGCTGGGACCATTATTGCCTATGTCATCCCAGTCTAACATCTCTGTATGTGTCCATGTTGATATTGTTTTCAAAGTTTGTGAGTAAATTCTTCTAAATGAGTTTGTATTAGTTGTTGTAATCCAGTTGTTGTACAGAAACACATTCGCATTAGTCAAATATTTGGCTGAAATTATGAGCACATTAACTTTAATCTGAAATAAAACATCTAATGGATGCTCTGTTTCTATGCTTTTATTTAGTGAAACTTCAAGACTTGGCATCTTGGGTTTGTCGGTTTGTTGGTTTGTTGTTTAACGCCACCCTCAGCAATATTCCAGCTATATGGCGGCGGACTGTAAATAATCGAGTCTGGTCCAGACAATCCAGTGATCAACATCATGAGCATTGTTCTATGCATTTGGGATATGTTGACATGTGTCAACCAGATCAGCAGCCTGACCACCCGAACCCGATAGTCGCCTCTTGTGATAAGCATGGATTGCTGAAGACCAATTCTAACCCGGATCTTCACGAATGGTTACTGAAATGTTTCAGTGGTATAAAAGATAAGCACTCATGATTTCAATCCTTGGATTGTCTGCTCAGGGTTGTATTGTTTACAGACTACTGTTATGTGGCTGGAATATTGCCTAGGGTGGCATTTGTCAAACAAAACAATCTTAACTGATGAGATCATTTTTCAGTTATCCTCCCTTAACAATATCTCCGTCCTAGAGAATGTGTCCATGGTATCGGTCATGATGGTATACAATACCCTGGATGGAAGGGATGCTCAAAGCTGCACAACAAACAGAACTTAGTGTCCTAGAGAATGTGTCCATGGTATCGGTCATGATGACATACAATACCCTGGATGGAAGGGATGCTCAAAGCTGTACAACAAACAGAACTTAGTGTCCTAGAGAATGTGTCCATGGTATCGGTCATGATGACATACAATACCCTGGATGGAAGGGATGCTCAAAGCTGTACAACAAACAGAACTTAGTGTCCTAGAGAATGTGTCAGTGGTATCGAGCATGATGGTATACAATACACTGGATGGAAGGGATGCTCAAAGCTGCACAACAAACAGAACTTAGTGTCCTAGAGAATGTGTCAGTGGTATCGGTCATGATGGCATACAATACCCTGGATGGAAGGGATGCTCAAAGCTGTACAACAAACAGAACTTAGTGTCCTAGAGAATGTGTCAGTGGTATCGATCATGATGGCATACAATACCCTGGATGGAAGGGATGCTCAAAGCTGTACAATAAACAGAACTTAGTGTCCTAGAGAATGTGTCAATGGTATCGGTCCTGATGACATACAATACCCTGGATGGAAGGGATGCTCAAAGCTGTACAACAAACAGAACTTAGTGTCCTAGAGAATGTGTCAGTGGTATCGGTCATGATGGCATACAATACCCTGGATGGAAGGGATGCTCAAAGCTGCACAACAAACAGAACTTAGTGTCCTAGAGAATGTGTCAATGGTATCGATCATGATGGCATACAATACCCTGGATGGAAGGGATGCTCAAAGCTGCACAACAAACAGAACTTAGTGTCCTAGAGAATGTGTCAGTGGTATCGATCATGATGGCATACAATACCCTGGATGGAAGGGATGCTCAAAGCTGTACAACAAACAGAACTTAGTGTCCTAGAGAATGTGTCAGTGGTATCGATCATGATGGCATACAATACCCTGGATGGAAGGGATGCTCAAAGCTGTACAATAAACAGAACTTAGTGTCCTAGAGAATGTGTCCATGGTATCGGTCATGATGGCATACAATACCCTGGATGGAAGGGATGCTCAAAGCTGCACAACAAACAGAACTTAGTGTCCTAGAGAATGTGTCCATGGTATCGGTCATGATGGCATACAATACCCTGGATGGAAGGGATGCTCAAAGCTGCACAACAAACAGAACTTAGTGTCCTAGAGAATGTGTCAATGGTATCGATCATGATGGCATACAATACCCTGGATGGAAGGGATGCTCAAAGCTGCACAACAAACAGAACTTAGTGTCCTAGAGAATGTGTCAGTGGTATCGATCATGATGGCATACAATACCCTGGATGGAAGGGATGCTCAAAGCTGTACAACAAACAGAACTTAGTGTCCTAGAGAATGTGTCAGTGGTATCGATCATGATGGCATACAATACCCTGGATGGAAGGGATGCTCAAAGCTGTACAATAAACAGAACTTAGTGTCCTAGAGAATGTGTCAGTGGTATCGATCGTGATGGCATACAATACCCTGGATGGAAGGGATGCTCAAAGCTGTACAACAAACAGAACTTAGTGTCCTAGAGAATGTGTCAGTGGTATCGATCATGATGACATACAATACCCTGGATGGAAGGGATGCTCAAAGCTGTACAACAAACAGAACTTAGTGTCCTAGAGAATGTGTCAGTGGTATCGATCGTGATGGCATACAATACCCTGGATGGAAGGGATGCAAACAAACAGAACTTAGTGTCCTGAATTGATGTTGCTCACCTCTGTCATGACTGGCTGTCCACTTGTGTTTCTGTGTAAAAACTGTGCAACCCACTTCAGTGCTTGTGTCCTATTTTTAAGCAGACAACTTTTCAAGTTTGTCTGGTCCAGACCAGATGTTTCCAGATCACACCCATGTAGCAGGAATATTGCTGAGTGCAGCATAAAACTAAACTCAATCACTGACTCATTAGATATTTGGCGGAATCATTACGACATATTGAAAAAAATCTGAAACATTTTGGTGAAATATATTACTTTACTTCTGTCGTCTGATGAGCCGCATTTTGCTATGCAGAGTTGCATCCCTTGGACACGCCAAAATGGGTTCGAATCAGGTTCACCCGATTGTTTATTGATTTGACCAAGTTGGTAAACATCGAAGATCTGTATCACTCTAAATTTTCATCCCGTCCTGATGAGGGCCATGATGTGACCTGAATACTGCAGATGGAAGTGGCTCGTCTGACTTACATAATATACTCAGCAGCAAAAAAAAAACCAAACCGTCAGTACGAATTCAAATTTAGATAGGCACTGTAATCAAATCATTACAGAAATGGGCATAACAAGCGGATCAAAAACATTTGTGTACAATATCTTGACATATCAGTGAATAACTCCGCACAATTTCAAAACATTACGTGAACGTTTGCAGTCCATTCAGACCCTTGACTTCAGTATCTAGTGTGACCACCACGAGCGGCAATAACTGCAGCACAGCGTCTCATGGGGTGCACCAATCGATTGATGAAGGCCATTGGCACCTTGAACCACACTCTGAGAAAGGCCTGGCGCAATAAATTGGCTGTGTTCGGCCTTGGTATGACATTATTCAGTCTCCTCTGAATTTCATCCCGAACATGTTCAATTGGGTTTAAATCAGGACTAAGGGCTGGTCACTGAATAATGTTGACACCGTTCTGCTGTAGGAAGTCCCGTGTACCTCTGGCAGTATGGGCCCGGCCGTTATCATGCTGGAAAATGTTGTTCGTTGACGTGCGAAATGTGGTATGACGTGGGGTCTGAGACCTTGGTCGATGTAGCGCACCGCTGTGATGCCGCCTCCTCTCCCTGGACCAAGGTTCTGGAACACCACAGGACCCACTCTCTGGTTCAGGCCTATTCCACCCCATACCATGATGCTTGCACCTCCCCATGAGTCTCTTTCCATAACAAATTGGTCTTAGTAATGCTGGCCACGTTGTCGCCATATTCATGACTCTCATCTGTGAACAGAACAGTTCTCCATTGCCTGTATCGCCAGTTTTGGTGTTGTAGGCCAAACTGTAGACGTTCACGCCGATGACGAGGGGTGAGGATAGGTCCACGGTAAGGTCTACGGCAATGGAGGTTCCCGCTGTTAAGACGTCGGCGTACTGTATCAGTACTGATTGGTCTTCCGTGTGTTCCCACTGTCTGGCGTGCTGTTTCGGATGCCTGCATGAAGGGATTCTGTACATGCTGACGCACAACATGGCGGTCTTGTCGTCTTGTGGTCACCCTTTGTCTGCCAGTACGGGGGCGACCATTTGTGGTGTTGGTGGCCCGGAAACGTTGCTGCAGCCTGGAGATGGTCCGAACGTTGACCTGGAAGTGATTGGCAACGGCTTGTGCAGTGTGGCCAGCTTCAAGTCTTCCTAGCGCCTGGTTCCTCTGAGCTGTCGTGAGTCGCGGCATCCTGCTGACGTTGTTATGTGAATGTTTCAACCAGGTTTGGGGTGCATTTTATAGAGCTGGTCCTTGTGAACAGCACGTGCAGCATGAGTTGCAAGAAAAACATGGAGAACACCGTACCATCTCCGAGATCAGGTTGCGTTTTTGAGACCATTTCCTGGGTTCCATTCTGAGTTTGGGAAGGAATGTCTTTGCTCAGGTAAAGTTGGAGATCCCGATGTTGTCAAAAATATACAATCAAAACATTAAATGAGTTTACAGTTATCCGTTTCTGTGAAGGAAAATTCCAAACTGACGTTTCTTTTGCTGCTTAGTATACCTCGAGGACCCACTGGTTTGTTTGTTTGTTTGTTTGTTTGTGTCACAGCGAAGTCAACAATTTGACAGCTATACATCGTCGGCGGTCTAAATAATCGACTGACTGACTGACTGACTGAGTTTGGTTTTACGCCGCTTTTAGCAATATTCCAGCAACTTCACGGCGGGGGACACCAGAAACGGGCTTCACACATTGTGCCCATGTGGGGATTCGAACCCGGGTCTTCAGCGTGACGAGCCAACGCTTTAACCATTAGGCTACCCCACCGCCCCCTAAATAATCGAGTCTATACTAGGCAATATGGTGACTGACTTCATGAGCATCAGTGTACGCAGATGGGACAAGATGAGGTGACAACCTCAACCAAGCCAATAGCGCGCACGCACACACACACACACGCATATACGGCGCCTTTGGTCCTGGACAATGAACAATACGTATAGTGGTTTAACTTTTGTAAATATTCACAGAATGGTTTACATAACATGTGAAACTCTCACCAAGGATGTGAAACAAAGGTGAAACTGGGATTGCAACGCACTTACTTAGCAACGCCAGGTGCGTGCGTGCGTACATATGGCTGTTGAACTCGGCCGGACTAATGCCGGTTTTATATTACAGCGTGGGCCGATCGGTAACCGTTTCTTAAGTTTCTAATATTTCTTACCCCCATGTAGTTTTTCCTATGTTATAGAATTCTACGATTTCTGAACAGGGTAGTGGTGATTAGTTTCGACCAACTGTCTTGCACGTAGCCACATTTGACGTTCATTTCTGATGTACTCCACTTATTTTGCATTTTACAAATTAACGTCGTACAACTTCCCTACTGTCTGTCTGTATACATTAATGAAGATAGGCTCAAAACTAATGACGTCAGAACATGTGGGTTTATTGTGATTACAGTAATATTGTCCTTGCTATGGAGGTGGATTGTGTGCCTTTCAGCGATGTAACAAATTAACTTTCTACAGACATCCATATTTGTGACAAGTTCGTATACATGCCACAATATTAAAAAAATAATTCAGTAAAGGGTAAACTGAGAAAGTATTCTTTTCGTCAAAAGCTGAGGTTATAACTTATAAATTTAAGTTTTTTCATGCTAAAATGGTTCGTTAGTCCATCTGTATTTGTAGAACATAAGATAATATAGAATCTTGTTGTATTGTGTGGGGGGGAGAGGGCCCTGGCTTGGCAACACCCCCCCCCACACACACACACACACACCACCCCTCTTCTGTCCTGAAAGTTTATTAGATGATTATTGAAAATCTCGTGAAAACGGGAGAAAATGAACTGTGCAGCCCAAGCTTTATCCGCCCTTGACTATGGCCTGCCTATATAACATTGATTGGGGATTTTTAGTGGACAATGGTAGAAGAGTTGTCGAACTTCCTTCCGTGAAGAGGGCGCTGTAACGCATGGCTTCACGTTGAACTAACCATGAAGATTAATTTGGGTAAGAACAAAATACATTAATGCTTTATTCCAGCAACTACAGTGCTCTATAAACATATGTATAGATTGTTATTATGTTGTAGGTTAAGAATAATCCTTGCAACCGACATACGTTTGCTTTCATTCTTCGAAATGTATCGGAGTATCCGTTATTTGAAAGGCGTTCATCAGAATACTCACTCATTGTAAAGCACAATGTTGCTGAAAAGGAATGTCTCGGAATCTAGCCTGATGGCTGGTTTAGCACTTTACACACCCAACACATATTTCTAACGGATCCCATGTTTAGTCGAAGCTCAGTTATTCTGTGTCATTTGTTCAGCCGAATGGCTAAGGTCAAGAAACAAAGGAAGTCCCAAAAGAGAAGTAGAGCAGGAAACAAGATTAGGCTTGGCGGAGAATGTTTTTGTGTTTTTATTGCTTTCCTGTGGAATTGCAGTTATGGACTTCAGAATAAATAAAAAGTTATTAGTTCACAAATAGCGTAGGGAATTTGGAAATGAATGTTCACGCGCTGTCTAACACAGGCAGGCAAAAGTGAATGCAGAGTGATAGAAATGCATAAGAACTGATGTTAGGGGAATTGGATAGCCAAGACCAATGTACTTGTAGTGGTAGTAACATTAAACATGATAAAGTCAGACAAAACATTCACAATGAGTATCTGCCTAATTATGCTTATGTTATATATGTGTGTTTTGAGTTACATTAGTGGTTGATGAAATGACCGAAGGGTAAGTATAGCTTGATAAGTGTGTGATTTTGAAAAGCTAGGACACTAAAGCATACCTCAATATCATGCATAAAACTTAATGATAATATAGCCTTAGGACATCTCAGGATGAATTTTGAGGGAAACAGGAGAAAAAAGGAATCATATTTGAAACTGAAGAAAGATAATAAGTTGGTAATCATGGCAACGGAATCGAAATTCTCATCTCTAGCTCTGTGCAATAGAGCTAAATCTTTTTTTGTGATTAACCAGTAACAGCAATAATCACACTGGGTAGATCCTAGAAGACCCTGCTCAGCTCACAGCTAGTGACTGGATAGAGATACTGACAGTGCTTGCACTGGCTTCAGTGCTTGCCTCGGAAAATAGCCTGTAGCATATGATAAACGTGATAAATGATGCACAATGACTGGGTTCTGCTACATGACTGAAAAGCTCCTATCACAGACTGTCATACTATCTCATAGTAACAGTTTACAATATTTTAGCTCTTATCCATGATGGATTGGAAGCAATAACTATGTATCATAGAGCAAAATCAGAATGTGCTTTTAATTTGTCATTTTCTTTTTGATCAACAGGATCCGATTGAAGCAAGACGACACTGAGTAAAACTGCCTTTTGTGTTCAAGATCAGAGTGCCACGTACAGTCTGATCTTTAACTCAGCAGTCGTCTCTTAGCAACGAAATCAGTTGACAATTTCAAGAGAGGTAACTGCACTTACTGAAAGATATATTAGCCCCAACTCTCAGTGCTGTCCGTGATGGCAGGAGATCTGGGGTCCTTTCTTCAGTGAGTTCAGACTTGGGCTCAGTATTTATGTTGCTTATCTTGATGCTGATGGCTATTGTAAGATGCTGAAGATATGGGATGCCTGTTAAAACAGACTAAGTTTCAAATACATTGCACATGCTTTTCTGTGTTTTGAAATAATGTTTTGGCTTGGGGAAGACTTGATGTGAGTAGTCATGCAACTTGTTGGTTACCATGGTTACAAGTGATGAGTTCTGATTGATGAAGATTAGTTCTTACAATGATTACATACCATATACATGTAGTTCATACCATACAAGGCTTTTAGAAGGAGTCAAGATGTGGGTTTTTTGGTATGCAAGTTAAGACTTTAAGCGGTACTTGATTTTCTGTTTGGTGATCACGACACACTAAAGGACAGAATATCTCATGTCAGAGTCATTGTCAAGTATATCTTGGCAACATCTAGATAAGTTTAAGTCACCATCCCCCCAATTGATAGATGTAGTTTTAAAAGGATAGCATTGCAATGCCAAATGATTAGCGATTTTGTGTTCTATACATACATTTCGTTTTTCTTCATTGAGGATAGTGGCATTGTTTTTCCGGTGCTTCCTGCATGTCTTGAAAACTGTCTGTGTCATTTACCCTGTTAAGATGAAAAATAGAGAGTTCATTGTCTGTAGTATTAATACAATATATTTAATTTAATGTTAGTTACGGTAGCTAGTTTTATACAAAAGGGAATATTTAGTCAGCAAATATGTAGAAATGCATTCAAAGATGTAACAATAAAACATTTACATCTGGTTGGTTTTGGAAATGGAGGGTTAAAATATGAAAGAAATATGTGCAGATCAGATAAGATATAGCAGTCTTTCCTTTCAAAAACAAAATCGTTACCAGTTTATATGACTGATCCCAACATGCTTACACCGAGTATGTTATTATCAGTGTCAGAAATGTTTGGGTAGGGTTATTTATTTTGAGTAATGCATGCTCTATCATGCCTAGGGACACAAAATAACCTTCATTTATAAGGAAACCAATCTATGAGATTCTGTTTTAACCAATGTAAAACCTCAGGCATTGCCATTATTGCATTCTTACAATAGAAATCAGCACTTCAAATGAGAGGGTCTCTTTTTCACACAAAACACTACCAATGTAAGAAAGAGCATCAACACATAAGCAGGCTGAAGCTTGGGTGTGTTGCCAGCCTACTATCAAACATGCATGTCAACGGATGGTGATGCAGGATGAAATAGGCTCCATCAACCTAAGGAACTGAATGATGGTCAGCGTAAATGATGGGCAGTGGGGTAGCCTTGTGGTTAAAGCGTTCGCCTGGGTTAAATTTCCTACATAGCTACAATGTGAGAAGCCCATTTATGGTGTCCCTGTTGTGATCTTGCTGGAATATTGCTAAAAGTGGCGTAAAACCATTCTGACTCACCCACTCCTCTTCCATGATCAAGTTGTAGTGTCATAGTACCACCCATGATGGCATGGGACATTGCTCAAGATGTCCACTCTTTCATATGTCAGAGGCTAGTGACAATTATCCCCAGTATTCTAATCTCAAATAGCTGCGGACTGAATGGATATGACCTATGGCGTATGATGGAGACTTATTCAGGAGCCAGCTATACATAGCTGGAATATGGACTGCTTGTCTTACTAGGTTAAGTTTGAATCTAAATGTTGTTCCAATATCAACAATGAAAGGGCACTGTTGCTATGATGCTGTTTATCTCTCCAGTTGTAAGAGGCAGCAGCCCTAATGGGAATACCAAGAATATGAGTGCCTAATCAATCTCTCTCTCTCTCTCTCTCTCTCTCTCTCTCTCTCTCTCTCTCTCTCACACTCTCTCTCTCTCTCACTCTCTCTCTCTCATATATATATATATATATATACACAGTCTCTCTCTCACTCAACACACACACACACATATATCTTGGTATACCTTATATATCAGGGTAACAATATAGGTCCTTAGTAACCTGTGAGGTTTCCAGGCTAAGAATACTGGTCCATACCAACATTTGTAACACGTGACCGAATGGCTCATTGTGTCAGGAGCAATAACCTGGCTGCTTGAGCATCACCATTTTCAGATTGCTGACAATATCGATCACTGGATTGTTTAGACCAGACATGATCATTTAGAGGCAGTTGGAATATTGCACTGGTGGCATCAGCAAACACACCACACCATAGTGATGCCTCGCAGTGACAACCAGTCATTGTGTTTGTGTGAAAAAGAGAACCTTCAGTTTTGCACATGTGAAAGATTTCACCCAAATGTATGTGATTACTCCTTTAGCATGACCAAAATAGTGCAACTTTTGTACTCATTTAATAATTACATTATTGGAGAGCTACTGATATTGTTGTGATCACTTGTTACAATTGTCTTGATCACAATGATTGATATCGAAATAATTTGGAATAACACAATTTATTGTTCTTGTTGTATGCATGTTAATTAGGCTTTCAACATTTTCGGAATGTTAAAGAATATTTGTGAAAGACCAATATAATTAAGATCAGATCTTTTACTCTGACATACCTTTCGATATTAAGACCTGGAGTTGTCACTATAGATCACGTTCGCTAATGAGATACACAGCACCAAGATATGTTAAGTTCTCGGCAGTATGACTATGCAACACATTAAAATCAGTGTTTCTTTTTTGTGTGTCTTGAAAAATGAAGTTGAAAAGGCAGTTCCTGATGTAAACAATGAAAAAACCCACTGTATTATATCATTATTGATATTTTGAAGACAAATGTAACATTATTTTATGAAGCTGACATCTGAATATCTTGGGGACCAACACATTCATTTGCACTGGGATTGGAAGCTCGGTCAGGATTCACCTGATTTCACTTGTGGTGGAATTGTTGTGACATGAGGAATCGAAGTGGTATCATATCAGAGTACAAAATGTGATTTTAATTACTTTCGTTTCAAACAAAACAAATGTCAGAGTATAACCTAAGTATTTAAAAATAACATTTGTTTTGACTGAAATGTTGAAAACAACATTAAAGTTGAGTCATGTAATATGTATTGAATGTAACTTCAGTGTAACAATGTTTGACTTTTTGATAAAATATCCAGTTGCAGAAATGTTACTGGTTTCTATACATTGCACCTATTATATCTCCCAGAATGAAAACAAGTCCGAGTTGAGTATGATATCTTCCCGAAGCTGATTACAAATGTTTGACCTAAATAATTGTATGAATACAAATGAACATGCCTAGAATATTTTTTTTCTCACAAATTTCAGCTATAATCCAAGTCCCAGTCCTGCGATGTATACTGGTGGACGCCGTCCGTACGAGGACCTGGGAGGGTCCGAGGATCCATACAACAAGAAGCGGAAGACCGAAATGTGGAACGAGGGAGGGTATTCTGACTCCTTGGCTCTCCCACCCCCGCCACCCTTTCCATACGGCAACCAGACCAATACCATGAGCAACATCAGCAGCATGAGCAGCATGAACAGCATGTTTGACAGCGGCATGGACAACTACGAGAATCCCTGGAAGATGCCACGACAGTATGACAACATGGGCTCCACGACAGCAGCATCCTCATCCACTGGAGCTGACTGGAACAGTGGTGGTGGGGCTTGGGGAGGGACTGGCTCGTCAGGGTATGGGGGGGACACTGGTTATGGAGGGGGATCCAGTTACAAGGGGGGCTCAAGTTTTGGACGGTCGTCCAATTGGGGTGGAGCAGGTAGAGGGGGAAGGACGAAACAGTTTTCATTCGGTAACCAGTCAGAAGATACAGACTTTACTGATGACTTTGCTGTGTTGAAGGCGGCGGAGATCCAGTACAAGAAACAGGGAACTGTAGACTTTGATAAGATCAGGAAGGCTCTCCAACTGGTGAATCAGCAGTCTGATGGAGGGAGAGTCAAGAGAGGGGGACGAGGAGGAAGAGGGGGGAACTGGAATGATGGGGGGCAGAATTGGAATGACAATCAGAGCTGGAATGATGGGCAGAGCTTCGGTGGCTTTGGAGGCGGAGGTCGAGGAGGTCGTGGTAGAGGCTTTGCCAAGATGACACCTTATGACAAAGCTGCTGGATTTGGTGGTTAGTAAAGGATTCACCATCTCCTAAATAGACATGTTTCATTGATATGGACACTGTCCACTCAGGGAATCCCTCTTGTCAATACATGTACTATTTAGAATTGAATTTAGATTTTAATTCAAATTTACTTCGATGTTTAAAGTGTATTTTTATGAAAATTAACATTATTAAACACCTGTTGAATGTTGACTTAAGGTCAGTACACACCACACCTCTCAGTCGTGCACTATTTTACAACTGTTGCAGGTCAAAACAAGTTCAACAGAGGGATGCGCGGGAATCAAAGGGGTGGCCAAATTGGTCGAGGAGGTCCCAGAGGGCGGGGAAACAGGGGAGGCTTTGGTCAGGTAGCCCCTGTTCACAGTCTGGCTAAAGTGTCTACCATAGATAGCTCCAACATGTCCATGGCAGAGAAGATGCGCCGATTTGCATTGTTCATCCAGAATGACAGCCAGAGAGTCAATGACATCCAGACTATTGAGAATGGTCTGACAGGCAGCAAGCTCGGTCTGAAGTCTGACTATCAAGTAGAGGAGCTCCTGAAAGTCTGCAACAAGATGATGTTCACTGGGAGGCTGTTCATCGGATCGGTTTTCCTGGCGAGAAGTGTTGGTGCAAATAAGAAGGAAGTAAAGCATGAATGTTTCCGAAAGGCTGTGGATGTCCTGAAATCCAAGAGTGTTGCTGCCATCATGAAGATGGATGATGTTGGGACTGAGAAAATGAGAGCCGAACTGCTGGCATCACTGAAGGATGAAGGGAGCTCGAACCCAGTCATGGATGCCCAGAAGAAGGTAGCAAGTCTGGAAGAGGGCAGAGAACCTGCTGCCGGTTTGGTTGGACTTGAGGTCAACTTTGATCAATTGATCCAGTACTTGAACAGTGGGAAGGCCAACTGCAACAATGTCATCAGTGAGCTGACTCAGTCCTTCTCGGCATCCTTCTGTAACCTGAATCACAAATATGTGGAAGAAAATACCCGACTGCCCAATGGGAAGCTATGGTTCAAGGGGAAGCTGACGATTAATGACACATTGATAGCTTCAGCCACAAGTCACAAGAAAAAGGAAGCAAAGCTGAAGACATTTGAAAAGGCCATGGTGTTCCTGAAGACAAAACCCATCTCTGTCATCATGCAGGGTATCTCCCTAGATGAAGCTGAAGACATGCCCACATCTGATCCTTTAGCTGCAGCTGCACAAGGTCAAGACTTCAAAGAGGACAATGCCAGTCTGCCCAGTGAGCGGACTCTTGAGAAACTGAAGACACTCTTGATGTCGGTGCCAGAATTCCCAGGTATTGAATCAGTCGTCAACCTCCTGGACGTCACTGTTCACCAGCTCCAGCTTGTGCCAACTTGTGTCTACAGGAAAGGAGGGGCCAAGGATGTCAAAAGCTCAATCCAGTGTGACCTCTACCTGGACAATATCCTGCTGGCTATCGGGGGAGGGTGAGAAACGCAAAGATGCACAGTGCGATGCTTACGTCAAAGCTTTGGATGTCCTGTCCACAAGCACGGCTGAAATAATCTACAATGACTTCCAGAGACTGACCCCCGAAGACACCAAGGGTCCAGGTGTCCTGGAGGTGTGGGTCAAAGGGCAGAGCAGGACTGGGGAGTCCAACCTACAGAGGCTGAAGCGGATGAAGCTGGACCCGATGGAGCATGGCAAGGACAAGAATGATATCGTCCTCATCGAGCATCACGAGTGGGCGTTCGACCGGAAGAGACAAGCATTCTGCATCCTCAACATGAGTGCTACCCAGAATGCCATGCTGCTGGAATGGAAGATCAGCCCAGTTGGAACATTTTTCAAGTAGGTTGAGTTAAAAGATAAAAGGATTATTGGAGATAATTATTGGAGCAATATCTGTCATTTTTTTATGAAAAAGTGTCAAATTATTGTATAACCTGAGTTAGATAAAGGATAATGAATAAATACTTACCTGATCATAAACGTCGTCTGAAATAACTAATCTTCAACAATCTTCAACTCTGACATTGTTTCTAATGAGACACCATTCCAATCTTATGTCACAGTAACATTTAAATGACGTCATTCATGTTGTCAGACTGAGGTAAAATGTACACTGGTTAATGTGAAGCTATAGTTACCGTAGTGCACATATAATTGTTCTAAATTCTATAAACTCCATCTATGTGATGATGGATAATAAATTATGTCGGACGTCCCAGCTTTGGGACACTTCGGAAGCTGATGGTTTTGTTCTCTAGGCCCTTCTTACATAAAGTGATCAAATTCTTAAAGTACTGTTAAACCAACTGTTTTTGTGCATTTATGTCTACAATTTATATAGTTAATATGTGAAAATGTGAAATATCTGTTAAACAGTGTTCGGCCTAACTATAGTCTCGGTGGTAGGGAGATAGGAAACGTAGAAAAGGGACTTTACTGATGAGAGATTATCGCAGAACTGAGCAATGCAGTTTTTTTCTAAGTCGAAAGCGACTGATTTGGAACAGACCATGGCTTTATGCAAATTAGTGTGCGATGATATTGTATTACAAATGAAACTTTTTAAATGCCCATTTTGAAATTAAAATTAGCTTACTATAAACGATAGCTGTCGTAAAAAATATAAATAACTTTAAGACTGAAACTATTGAGGATGCAGCTACCGTGGAGTCTCACTATCACTATAAAGAAACAGGTAGGAGGGGTCGTCTCAAAAGCTAAACCAGGACAGGCATCGCAGACGGTAGTTGGGACAGGCTAGGAGGCTGGGAGGTCAGCTAAGATAAGATAATCCTTTAGGGGAATTAAACTGGGGAAGGAAACGGCATGTCATAACAATTTACAAATAATATCCAGTCCTGTCGATCTTCGGTTGGTTGATGGGTATCATACTCTCTTACATATCTCAACATAAACTTTATGAAAGAAAGACACGTAAGATGTTAATCAATAGATGAGACGTATACAACGCACATGAAAAAGCATAATATATCTCTGAGATGACCCCTTGTGCCTGTATGCAGCACATGCATTTCATGCCAGGTGAGTCGACGGTCCGCCGTCATACCTGGCTGAGCGACCTAATTGCCATCTATAGTCTGATCTATTGTTTTGCTGATTTTACGAGTAAACATGCTTTTCTGGATATCCTATTACGCATCCCACTGAACGCCCAGTTAGGCCGATGTGGGATATTTCGACATATGCTATTTGCAATTGTGTAAATTTTAGGGATACAGAGTACCAGCCTAAAAACAGTTTGTTTCTATTTCCGACAGTACTTTAGTACAATGAGTGTAAAGTGTGGGTTATATCCATCAGTGAATAACGTAGCATTTACGGTCATTTCAACTATATGCCAGGCAATGAGATATATTATTTTCAAAGTTCTATTCCTTCTTTAAATGGAAACATTTTGACATTTGTGGCATTCAGAATGTTCGACTCTTTGCCTCTTTTTTGGTCCTGTTATCCGGAGACCCCCTTCTACAAACAACCCAAATCCATGTTAAAAGTGGGGAGATCTTCTTGTTCTTCAGGGCCTTGTGTCGCTACGGTTACCGACCTTGGCGCCAGACTTGGTACTGAATGTCAGCTTCTTTGAAAGCCAAGATAATTCCTTGAGAAGTGTTGCAAGTGTCAATTCTGCTCGTTCATCCATGTGACTCCTACTTCCAGGTGTGAGATGTACATCCAGCAGGAACCGGTGGGAGAGGCATGTGCCCCCGCCAAGAACGCTGCTCGCAACCTGTCTGCCGGAGATGCCTTGTTCAACCTGTATCAGACACAGACAACGATCAAGGTGAGGAGTCAAACCCAGCCATACGGTGTGGAAGGATATATGTCTCATGTCGAATAGGGACGCCACACATCTCCTTGTAAATAGTCACATGTTAATAAATTATACCAGAACTATTAGAAAACATGCAAAATATACTACCATTGTGCAATAAACTTAAGTTACATGCATACGTACATACATTAAAGATTTTTTTAACAGAGATGTTAAAAGAGTCACTGCATGGTTACCACGTGTCCTTTTTACTTCGTAAGTCCTGTGTTCATCTAACCATCAACCATTATTTACTGGTCACATACCAGCATCACACATACAGGGACACTTCTCTTTTGATCAATGCATAAAGAAGTCCTACTTGTTGATTATTTGTTAATGAGATGAACTGGACCACCACACACAGATGTAAATTAGAAGTCACATGAAACACAGCATTTCAAGCTGGTTATACACTGAATCCTAGGGGGCAGAGGGGTAGCCTGGTGGTTAAAGCGTTCGCTTGTCACACCGAAGATCCGGGTTCGATTCCCTACATGGGTAAAAGTTTGAAGCTCATTTCTGGTGTCCCCCTGTCGCGATATGGCTGGAATATTGCTAAAAGTGGCATAAAACCAAACTCACTCACTCACTCACTAAATCCAAGGGGAGCAATACTCAAAGAAGACTTATCAACACCTGATGTGAATGATAATATTGAGTGAAGTATTGTGACGCCAAGCATGGTATTGTTGTTGTGAGTTTAAACAACAGTCCTTGCCACCAAGTACAATTTTAACCCAAGAGTCCTAATCGTGACCCCTAATGAAAAAGCACTGGTTCTGATTTTTCCTCTGAAACCCCGTAGAGGACTTTTGTTCTTGAGGAAGGGTGCAGTTTCATTATTGGTGAGGATTCTTAAACTGGATTTGTTTTCCCATTTCAGGTTGTATCGCGAGATGAGTCCAATTTCTGGTTTACCTATGAGACAATCCAGGAGAAAGCTGACAAGCTGAAGGCTGAGAGTGGCGACACTGGCAACGATGACATGGTTCCAGTGACCCCAGATTCCATTACAGAGGAGAAGCCAAAGATGGAAGAGAAGGAGGGCACAGCCAATGGGGAGGGGCAACGTCCGAGCCTCTGATGGCTAACAAGTGGATCAAACTGGTCATGGAACAGATGGTGGAGAAATTTGCCAAGGAGGAAAACCTGGAGGAGCTCCTATTTGGACCGGGATTTCCTCCTGGGGAGAAGAAACTACTGAACTTGATCGCTCGCAGCTATGACCTCCGCTTCTCCACTAAGCAGAACAAGGATCATGCATACTCCGTCATCTTCAGGAAGTTTATGCCAGACAAGATGGCAGAGCTGCTGAAGAAGAATGGTGGCCACAGTGGCAAGTACTCCATCATCCCGAAGGAACTTCTTCCCAAACATGCTGACATCAAGGATCAGTTGATGCCACCTCCTAAACAAGAAGGCCAGAAAGGGAAAGGGTCTGTCACTCAGTCGTTTGAAACATCAGGAGAATATGAAACTGCACATTCTACCTTCTTCGACACTTCAACTTCTGGTTCTAAAACCAAAGTGAAATCTCCATTTTCAAATGTAGGTCGTGGGAATGCGTCCTTCCAGACAAGTACACCCAGGGGTGGGAATAAGGGGAAGCGTGGGCGTGGCCGAGGAAAGGGGAACAAGTTTGTGTCTGGGAACCTGCAAGGGAACGGAGGGGATTGGGAAGCTGGGGCTGGAGTGAAAGACGAAGACATGCCTCAGTGTGACGATAATGCAGGTGAGCAGATGGAATACACAGCTTGATTGTGACGAAAGACTGGGGATTGTATGGACAAAATGGCTACACAGATAGCCAATGATGACTTGTGTAGACCTGCAGCAAGTCTAGTGTGGCAGGTTTTCCAATGTGGAATTGACACTGAATTGTTTGTTTGGAAGGATTTGGAGACTTTGAAAACAGCTTCTCATTTTGAAATGGAGTTCTTTTTAAATTGTGTTGTATTGTCATTTCACCCAGTACCATCAGGTAACTTCATTGTATGCCTTAGAAAACATTGTTCACATTATATCCTGCTGATCAGCCAGGTGGTATAAAGTTTTATACAAGTAATACAAGGGTAGGCGACATGTTTAAACTTCAAGTTTATCTGTGTGCCAATATGTAAACCATTTTGAAGATTTGTGACTCACTCATATTGTTCTTGTTAATAAGTGCTTTGTCTTTGGAATGATACTGTTCAGTATTATTGGATTTATCAAGTATTTCCCAGAGACAAGCAGTGGCCTGAACTTTAAATAGATTTTTTTAAATAATGTGTTTTCTGGGTATATTTCTTTGGTTCTGTTTTGTATCGGTAACTGCAGCAAACTTATTGTATCCAGCAATTCAAAACGTTGTACAATTTCAGACTTCATTCTGTATTTCATTGTGTTTGGCATGCATTTACCTTGTGGGTTGAATGTCAGGTGAAAGACGAAGCTACCCGTTAAACATCATTCATATCGAAGTAGCATTTTGAAAGGGAGAGCTTTATTACCTGTCCTAAGAGTGCTAAATTGAATTTGGGATAACATGTGGCTTGAGATTATATTTATGGTTTCTAATTTTAGCTGATGTGGCTTAGTATATGACTTCTACAGTTTGATTTGTGACTTTTTTTGTAGAGGTTAGCTGTCAGTTTCTGTCAATACAAGCAGGAGGGGTCTATCAGTTGTGAAATGTTGGGAGTGTCACCTAACAAATACCAAGCTGTAGCAGAATGTTTTGTGTGGAATATTTGGCGTTAATTTTCCTTTACAATCAAGCTTGAACGGTTTTAATTTGGCTTATATTTTAAATATCATGCATGTCGTGATAATTCATAAGTTAGATCATGCAGGAAAATCATCAGTTTTCGTGATTAAATTTCATCTGTATAATATTGCAGTGCTAACTCCGAGACAGTGTTTTAGAACCCTATGTACATTACACTTTCATTTCTACCATGATGTCTAACTATTGTTTCATTTCGTAAGGAAAGCAGCATTAAACCCAACTCACTCACTCATTCAGACGTATTGTAATCAATATCCCAGTGGTCTATTCAAGCTAGGCCAGATTTTTGTCTTAAAAACCTGGTTTACAAATCGACTGATTCCCAAAAATTTGAATGTCAAAAAATGAGTTCCTTATTCTAACAGCCAGTCTTAAAAATCTCACCCACTTTATTATGTAAAATATTTTTTCCAACCTGATTACAATTTTTAGAATTCAGAACAAATATATCGGAATTTTGTTTTAATCTTTTCTGCCTGAAGTCTGGACGTATCGTCATGCTGTGCCTCCTATTATGTATATTCTAGTATGTGTACATTCTACAATGACCTTTGCTGCAGTGTAACGAATCAATCAAATTGGTTCTGTAATTCATCATTCAGTCTGGCAGGAGTCACAAGTATGCATTCACTGTTAGGAAACCTTATCCCTGATGTAACAGCTGTCAATCATTATTTCATTGTATCACAAATAGGAATAAAATTCTTGTGGATATTTTTGATCTTATCGCTTTCCTCCCACTTTTAGCTGAAGTTTTCAGCTACAGCCAGGATGCTGTTACAAGTAGGGTTAAACCCAACTCACTCACTCACTCACTCAGGGCGAGAGTCCCTGGTTTGACCAGCTCAGGTCAATATGGCATCAACCAAGGTGGTGATCTATACTGGACAGAATAAGTTAGGGATATTTGTAGTTTTATGATTGATATTTTATCAGCGAGTCAGTTGATAAATAGATCAATATTCATAATTTCAAAATTGACTTATATCCCTAATTATTTTTGTCCAGTATATAACAGGAAGGTAGAATATAGATAGTTATAATTAGAAGTGGTGTTTTCTGAACCTTTACATTGCAGCAGTGACATGGAATTGGATATCAGGCCGCGTATTTGTTGACATTATTAACACAAAGATAAAACTAAAGAAGAAGAGAGGAAGGGTGGGACCTCAGAGCATAAACAATTAAATGAAACAGAAACATCACAATAGTAAGGGACCCTTCATAATTTATGGCTAGGGTGGGGTGGGGTGGTGGTGGTGTGATAATGATTTTTATGGAGAAGCATGTACAATGTGAATGACCCCTCCTAAGATGTATGTACAAAGTAAGTGACCCCCTGCATGTCATGTACAAAGTCAATGCCCCCCCTCCCCCTTCCCATATTTTTAAAGCGTAATTGTAAAATATTTTTATGTACAAATTGCTGACCCCCTACCTCCCCAGAACAAAATGGGTGACCCCCCATTAAAATCATCATCAACCAACCCCACCCACCCCCCAAGCCATAAATTATGAACGGTCCCTAAATGCAGTGTGTCTGTGTTTGTGTGTGTATGTGTATGTGTGTGTGCGTGTGCGTATGTTCCTGCGTGGCCTGGTTATGTAATACGCCCAACATATACAGACCACTGAGGTTGTTAGATGTGGAGATCAGCTGCAGGGCCCTCTTCCTCAAAGCGATCTTAACGCTATGTCCAACCAAGTCATAGCAAGACCATCAACACAAACTTCATACCCGGACACATCCGGTACCTGCATCATCAGCGACCGCGTCGACGGTGAACAGATGTCCAGCAATCCAGGAATTGGAAGTGATACCGGGTACTGAGTTGACCTGGTTGTGTTCTCACTAACATCATATGGCGCTGAGTGAGTGAGAATGGTTTTACGCCGCTTTTAGCAATATTCCAGGGAGACACCAGAGATGGGCTCCACACATTGTACCCATTTGGGAAATCGAAGACCAGTGGACGCTTTAAAAACAGGCTACCATATATCCCGTTAGAACTGGTCTTTACCAAACCATGCAAGTCGTAAGAGACGACTATATAGCGGAATCCAGTGGTCTGGTTATCTCACTTGGTTCATGCATGTCACCGTGTCCGTTGGTTTGACTCTCTGATGCTCTAAAGTGTCTGGGCCGTGGGGTAGCCTAGTGGTTAAAGCCTTGGCTCGTCACGCCGAAGACCCGGGTTCGATTCCCCACATGGGCACAATGTGTTAAGTCCATTTCTGGTGTCTCCCGCCGCGATATTGCTGGAATATTGCTAAAAGCGGCGTAAAACTAAACTGAGTCAGTCAGTCTAAATTGTCTTATCCAGATTCGAATATTTGTAGGCCGCTGTCTAGCAGTGTTAAACAATTAGAAACTGATTGTACAAAAAGGGACGGACGGATCTCATCCATGAATTATTTTTAGTTGTTTATCTTCACGTAGTCAGACTTTGTTTAGTTTGTTCTTTTAACGGCGCTCTCACCAATGTACCAGCTGTATGACGGCTGTATGTAAATGATCGAGTCTGGGCCAAACAATCCTGTGATCAGCATGAGCATCGATGTACTCAACTGGGGTACGATAACATGTGTCAACCAAGTCAGCGAGCCTGACCACCCAATCCCGTTAGTCGCCTCTTACGACAAGCATGGGTTGCTGAAGACCAATTCTAACCCGGATGTTCATATAATCATGGACCGTATGCCGATCGGTAAAAAGTGGTATACCTTACCTTTCGACTATCAGTCACCATGATGTGGTTGCTGTCGACTTTACACTTCGCCCTTGAATCACACCATCCCACTTCGACCCTGAATCATTCACTGTCTGTCAGAAAAACAATAGCCTCGTGCGGAAGGACATTTTTTTTTTAGTATGTAATATGTTGATATACCCTTTCGTTTGTCAGTGAAAACTGAAATGTGTACTGGCAAAGTTTCATTCAGAAACAGGGGCGGCGGTGTAGCCTTATGGTAAAGCGTTTGCTCGTCCTGCTGTAGAGACGGGTTGGATTTCCCACATGGGCACAATGTGTGAATCCCATTTCTGGTGTCGCCCGCCGTGATATTGCTGGAATATTGCTAAAAGCGGCGTAAAACTGAACTCGCTCTCATTCATTCAGAGACCCGTGAAGGTCCGGGTTAGAATATTGGCCTTCAGTAACCCATGCCTGTCGTAAGAGGCGACTAACGGGATCGGGTGGTCAGGCTCGCTGACTTGGTTGACATGTCATCGGTTCCCAATTGCGCAGATCGATGCTCATGCTGATGATCACTGGTCCAGATTCGATTATTAACAGACCGCCACCATATACATGTAGCTGGAATATTGCTGAGTGTGGCGTAAAACTAAACTCACTCACTCATTCATTCAGAAACAGTTAAAACAAACACCTAGTTGCGGGTACAGCAACGTGCAGTAACTTGGACAAAGTACTGTGACTTATGTGTCCCAGTCCACCCAGCTGAGAATGGGTACCTCGTAAGGATGGGAATGCCACAATCACTCGGTGCGCCTAGTGGCTGCAAGAGTTGTATGATCCCCAGGGAGTTGAGATTGACAATACGATGTACCGTTGACTTCTACAATTTACACATTAACGCCAAAATCTGTTCATTTTTTAAAAGGAAAATATTTAGGATGAAAGAACAACGCAAGTCGACATGTAATGAATCAATTTTAGTTTTAATGTTTTTCCCTCCCAAATTTGATGTTTTATATGGTTTAAGCCATTTTGAATTTCTTAATCAGTCTGTAAAATAAATGGCCATATTTCTGAAGCCTCAATGAATCACATTTTACATATATATAGACTGCGCCGTGTTTATTACTGTGCATGGTCCGACAAATCACCGATCATAGTCAGAGCAAATTTTGGGTTCGAAACCAACGATGGAAGTTATCATTCATTTCTAAAACAACGTAATTGTGACAGATTTATTGTATTTTGTCAAGACAAGGTGGTAGTTTAAAGGAACCCATGGTTAATATCACAAAACATGTTTAAATGTTCAGAAAAGAAATGAGTACCCGTTAAGATCCGGATTAGAATTAATCTTAGCAACCAATGCGTGTACGACCAACAGGATCGGGTACCGACTCAGCTAGTGTGGTGGCCACATGTCATTGTGTCCCAGTTGTCTAGATCGATGTTCATGCTGTTGATCAGGGGATTGCCTTGTCCATGCAAGCTCGTTTATTTACAGAACGCCACCAAATAGTTGAAATATTGCTGAGTGTGGCGTTAAACAACAAGCAGAAATGAGCTGCACTATTTCAACGAACAGCGGGGTTCACCGGCAAATGCTCGTCACACTGAATGTAGGTCCGTGTTCGATTCCCCAACTCGGTATGGGAACCCATTTCCTGGATGTGATATTGCAGTGGCATTGCTAACATTATTCGGCGTAAGCCACTCTCACTCACTCAATAACTGAACTACGAGTGTAGCTTGTAGTTGAGACGACCGAGTATACACCGGTGTGTAAGAGCAAGCACAGCCAGCTTTACAATTGGGACGAACAAAACAAAACAAAGAGTTTATCTCACTGTGAAATGGCCGCTCTTCGGAAGGACGAATAGAACTGACTGTGCGTCATATATGCTACCAGTTATACAACCTCGATATCAATGCTACAATAAGATTAACTCTTCAGGTGTATTTTGTAACAGTGTAACATTAATCCTGCCTTACACTATACATTAACGAAAACGAGTTAGTGATCGATGTTGCTTTTACACCGATCTATATATATATGGTGCTTATTATATATTTTTCTATAACTTTGGAGGCTCAGCATAATTGCGTCTTCTGTGACGATCTATATAGACAGGTGTGGTTTCGGGGCAATCGAACGTTAAACCGGGCCAGTTCGAGTTTCTCGTCGTTTCATTGGATACATCAGCACACGAGCCAATCAGAATTCTCAATTCTAAAACCGGTTTGATAGAAAATGCAAGTAAACAAACACATCTTATTTCGGTGGAGGTGCAGTAGGGGTCATCACGTGTTTGTGAACACAAGCGATAGGGACACATATCACATGCTCATGACAGAGCAGTAACGCTATAATTACCGGTCCACAAACCAAAGGTCGCACTGACGGCATATCCACACCAAGCAGTATAGCTTGTCATGATGGCTCTCTCTGCGGGTGGACGCTCAGATTATGTTTCCGCGGTTTTTGCTGCATTTTTGTCAGTGACGATCTTAACAACGGGCACCTGTCATCCGGAGTCATACAACGAAATCGTGAATCGAGTCTTTAATGGAGGTTACAGGACTAGCGATGTGGATCTTGATAAAAGACTTGAGGACACGCTTGAACGCCTTGAAGGTATGGTAATATTATATTAGGAGATGTGGTGACAATTAAAGGCTTGACACGTTTTGATAGCCCAGAAATCTGGACTGGTTAGCGATCGCTGCTGCGCAGACCATGAAACGGGCCGTCAAATATGCCCTTTTCAACTTTATTATTATAACGTACATTTCCAACCATTAAAAAGTTTAACTTCCACTCCCAGTGACTTAAATTATGATAAACAAATGTAAAATTGAAAGAACATGGAAGTCAATATGTACACCTTCATGGGCTGATCCAGGAATTTTGAAAGGAGGGGGTTCGAACCCATGAACCCCCCATTGGCGCCGTCAACGCAAAAAAAAATCTTCAATATGTGATCTTAAGTCATTTTCAAAATGGGTGTGTCTGTGTGTGTGTGTTCGAACCCCCTGAACCCCCCTCTGGATCCGCCACTGCACCTTTATATCTTTTTGCCAACATATAGCATAATATTGATCTATATATTATGTTGTGCTTTATTAGAGACCATGTAATATTCTCTGCTTTTATGCACATTGGAACTTCATAAAAAAATCAGTCAATCTTGTTCTTTGTACTGGGAGCTGAAAGGGTCGTTGTCGGCACAGGTACTACAGATATGTACCCCAGGTACGCTTCTGTATACAGATATGTACCCTAAACAAAGTCAAATTACAGAAATGTACCCGGTACCCTAAAAGGCGGACGAGTCCATATTTACTGAACCCAAAAACGAAACCGCATGTAGTTGTTCCCGTTCAACTGATTCCTAGTGGTATTCCTGTGCATTGCGAAATATCCGTTACTGTGTATTTTCATTACTTACATAACGCAATCAAATGTATCTAATACAACAGTATGAGAGTTCGAGTCAAGAATATGACACAATGGGAGTGGAATCGTCCAAGGGTACGTTTCTGTATTCTTATTATGGCCAAGGTACGTTTCTGTATGTAACGTACCTAGGGTACATATCTGTAGTACCGTGCCGACAACGACCCCTTCAGCTGTAGTGAATGTATATAAAGTGTCTGAGTGAATAATATTGTGACACACATGTTAAAGTGGAAAGGCTTATGAAAACAACTTTATGTTGCCTGTCTTGCATGAGGAATTCCACAACAATAGCGGCGATGGGGTAGACCAGTCTGCCTACCATCATTTTCTTTGGTAAAACTTTCAGTTTTTAAATGCATTACTTGCCATGGTGATCTAAATTGTGGACAATATATTTTGGTTTTTATTGATATTTACAAACAATTTGTAGAAATATGTATAAGTTAAGTTGTCATGGAAACCTGTTCAATTAAAACCAATTCAATATTGGATCATGACGTCATAGCACTGACGTTTTATATAGGGTGCCGTTATGTTTATCTCACAGTGCTGATGACAATTTCTGATAATAGTATGGCTAAATATTTTTATTCAGATTTCCTTCATGTGTTTATGGGGGCGGCGGGGTAGCCTTGTAGTCAAGCGTTAGCTCGTCACGCCGAAGAACCGGGTTTGATTCCCCACATGGGTACAATGTGTGAAGCCATTTCTGGTCTCCCCCGCCATGATATTGCTGGAATATTGGTAAAAGTGGCATAAAACCATACTCACTCACTCACTCACCCCAACAATAACAGATATAGTGGAGAGATTCTGTTGAAAATGCTAAACAAATGAATGAAAAATAAGCAGATATCTTAAATTACAATCAACAAAGATTACATGAGTGATATCAGGCAGTTGTTTGAGGCATGTATAAGTCAATACACAGAAATTATATCTAAATAAATCTTAGTCATCAATAATGGTGGTCCGATTAATTGAAATAATTGAAGACTGGTCGCAGTGAATAAACTTGTTTGCATTAACAATATTTTTCACTAGGTTGCATGACTTCTTTGAGATGCATTTTAGAAGTTGTATAGATGGAGGAAAACCAAGTTCTATGGATAGTCAACTTCTTTCTTGCAATGAGTGCGACCTTTCGGTGTAGGTACAAGTCACTTGCTTGATAACGGTGTTAGTACCTACACCGAAACGTCGCACTCATTGCAATAAAGAAGTTGACATCCATAGAACTTGGTTTCCTTCAAGGTGGCATGGTTTTGTGTCAATAAATATACATTTCATAAGCACTACATGCTCATTCCAAGTCATGACTGAATTTATCTTAAAGACTCCAGGAAGTTGATGTTCCTAACATACTGGGGCGGTGGGGTAGCCTAGTGTCTAAAGCGTTGGCTCGTCACGATGAAGACCCGGGTTCGAATCCCCACAAGGGTACAATGTTTGAAGCCCATTTCTGGTGTTCCTCGCCGTGATGTTGCTGGAATAATGCTAAAAGCGGCGTAAAACCAAACTCAGTCAGTCCTATCATACTAGTAATTAGAGCTCTGATCGTGGCCTAAGTGGCGAGACGATATATCCCGATACCAGTTTAATGAGGCAAGACGATATATCATGAAAGTATTGCCAAGAAACCTGTGACATGCTTATCATCACGATACAATGGTGGCGATACGATATGTATCCCGATACTTTACAATTTCTAATAACAGAGGGGCGGTGGGTTAGCGTAATGGTTAAAGCGTTGGCTCGTCACACCGAAGACCCGGGTTCGAATCCCCACATGGGTACAATGTGTGAAGGCCATTTCTGTTGCCATGATGTTGCTGGAATATTGCTAAAAGCGGCGTAAAACCAAACTCAGTCAGTCAGTCAGTGTAATAACAGAACAGATATGATAGGTAAAATGACTGAAACTTTATTTGTTATACAGCATTCACACACACTTAAAAAGCTGTTCATCTAATAAAGTTTCAGCATTTAATGCTTAAGAAAGTCAAACATATTCAGTGTACCTTGATCTAATATATGTTGAAGACCCGGGTTCGAATCCCCACAAGGGTACAATGTGTGAAGCCCATTTCTGGTGTCCCCTGCCGTGATCTTGCTGGAATATTGCTAAAAGCGGCGTAAAAACCGAACTCAGTCAGTGATCTAATATATATAAATCTGAAAGTGTAGCTTCCCTTGGGAAGTTGTGTTTCTACCAACTCAATGTAATTTATATCAGCATTCAGAATCACTAAAGTCTGCTTTCTAAATTTTATCTTCTCTTTGTTCTCTTTCTTAACAACGCTAAGACATCATTCATAGTTGTAAATAAATGGTGTTATGTGTCAAACAACTAAACCATATCTGCATATTTCAATTACTTGAAGACAATTATTATCAGCTCACAGAGTTTGTAAAATGTTCACACTCTGTGACTTGTACACCAACTCCTTTATTCATGTAACAAAGATAGACAAACAGATTCCTTTAAAGTTCAATTTGTTCTTAAATTTTAGAAGAATTTCAAAGAGACTCTTTTCCTATTCCTAATGCAATACACCTTACAACTTTAAGTTGTATTTAAGCTGTATCGGGATACATCGTCTCTTGTGGCGATACATCGATGTATCATGGACCCTCGCGATATAAATATCCTGATATATTGCCTAAATGTGTTTGTATCGATGCACTCGTATTTCGTAGTTGACGATGTAAACATCGATACTAACGATGAATCGTTACACCACTTCTAGTAATCCTTTAAAGGTCACATGCAACATAAAACACAACTTTGCAGATTCAGATACCTTTTGGTATGGACTTACCGAAACAAATCATCAAAAATGCAAATTCAACTTGCAAGTTGAAAAATAACGCGATGAAAAAAACTGTGCAAAATCGGAGTTCAAACGATTCACTAATTTTCCCCAAGCGCTTGGGGTAAAAGTGGTTTCAACAGCTGGGCTGCGCTGTGCTTGGCTGCGCAGCTTGGAAGCGGGTTGTCCGGCGAATACTCGGTGAAGGTTTTGGTGTGAGCTATTTTTCTAATTAATAATTTAGGTTCTGCCATTGACGTGGATGGAGGGATGGTTAGTTAACTCTTATATGCAGATGATATTGCTCTGTTGGCTGCTGACGAAAAATCTTTACAGCGTATGCTAAATTATGTCTCCTCCTGGTGCAAAAAGTGGCGTCTCCAAATTAACAGTAAAAAAAACAAAATTGTGCACTACAGGCCTAATTCTGTAGCTCGATCTCGTTTTATTTTCAGTTGTGGCTCTGCACAAATCGAAATCATACATGCATTTGGCTACATGAGCATTTGAATCAATGTATATGTAAATACTGCAATTACTCTGAAGTTGAAGATGAGATACATTTTCTAACCTCATGTCCATTTTATTCAGAAATCAGATCTACGTTATGGCTCAAAGCCAATGGAATTAACCCACAATTTGTTAATCTGTCCTAAACAGACCAAACTATATTTCTTATGCACTAGGGGGCAGTGGGGTAGCCTAGTGGTTTAAGCGCTGGCTCTTCACGCTGAAGACCCGGGTTCAAATCCCCACATGGGTACAATGTGTGACGGCGGTTCCCCGCAGTGAAGTTGCTGGAATATTGCTAAAAGCGGCGTAAAACCAAACTCAGTCAGTCAGTCAGTCTTATGCACGATCCTCAGCTCTCCACACCACTTGCCGCTACATTGAACGCTATGTTCAGGCGCAGAAAAGCTACTTTTATAATGTAATAATTTAAACAAATATCCGTGACTATTGTACTTATACCTGTCTTATGTGATATATTTTAATTATATTTTAGCACTTTCGCTATCTTAAAGACTTTTGATTGTAATTTAGTGTCTCATAGGCCATTTCTGTCCGGACAATGTACTGTGAATATGTGTAATTTTTAATCTATTGAGAATGTACGTTGTGTGACACCTAAATAAAAAAGAATTCTTCTCCTAATGTTTTGTTGATATTTCACAGGCGTAGGCTTTATGTACGTTATGACAGTAGATTACCGATTTAACTGTTTATATAATTTCATTTGTCTATTTCACCACATTTTCTTCTTACCGAGTCACTTTCTCAGTTTGATACTTAAAAGCAAAGTCATTATTTAGCGTTGACAGAATTTCTAACTGTAATTTCTAAATGTCGTTGTGACAATCA